ATGTGACTATGGTTGGGAAGGTGGCGATGTTTGGGGGTGTGGCTGTGGTTGGGGATGTGACTATGGTTGGGAAGGTGGCCATGTTTGGGGGTGTGGCTGTGGTTGGGGATGTGACTATGGTTGGGAAGGAGGCCATGTTTGGGGGTGTGGCTGTGGTTGGGGGTGTAGCTATGAATGAACAGAGATCTGTGTTCTCAGCCAATCACTTTCTGAGGGATAGTTCGACATACCTTTTTGTCATTTGCAGCTAACAGCGCCTCCATTCCTATTTTCAGCCTTTCAAATTCCTCATCTAAAAACAGAAGTCTGTTAATTAATGTTAATGCTACAGCTTGTATAGGGCAGTATGCTAACTGTACCTGCTCAGTGCTAGCTAGGATGCTAGCATGACTCCATAAAGGAGGAATGAGGCTCAAAAAGGAATAGACCCATAAAATACTGTTGAGAGGTGGTGGGGGGAGCGATAGCTGTTGATTTGGAGAGGGGGGGGGTTGGGTTATATCATACACCTTCTATGGTACAGTATATCTATCGCAATACTTATCTAGTGATAATGGCATGAAAATATAATTGGAAGCTGGACCATTTACTACTCTGTGATAACTGTACCTACTCTATGCTCACTCTTCTTACTCTATGATAACTGTACCTACTCTATGCTCACTGTTCCTACTCTATGATAACTGTACCTACTCTATGCTCACTCTTCCTACTCTACGATAACTGTACCTACTCTAATCTCTCTTCCTACTCTACGATAACTGTACTTACTCTATGCTTGTGTGTCTGAAGATCATCCTCCAACTTAGGGAACAAGGTCATGTGTGTGTCGATTTGGAGTGGGGTTGCTAGGGTCAGACTGGATAATGAGTTCCTTGGAAACCAGGCTGGGGTTTGAGAACAGCCTAGTGCACAGATTATGGACCCTTAGCCGATACCTGTTCCCTTAGCCTTTGAAGACCAGCTAGCCCTGCACAGAAGTTGGCTCTGCAGGCTCTCTATCTCCACTTCCTTGGCAGCTAGCAGCTGCTGCAGCCTGCTGACCTCCGCCTGTGAAGCAACTCAGTGTCACTCAAGCCACTACAGTTGTGATTACAGTGTTTTGATTTACTGTAATTACTCCCTGTATTCAGTTGTAATTACAGCTCTTACATTTAGTAAACCCACTGGATTCTCCACTGCCATAGAGGGTAAATAAAGGGAATGTATGTATCAGAACATTAGCAGAGTCCCAAAGAAACTAAACCAGTTACAGTGGGACGGGTGCTTAGCGAGGTACCTTGGGGAATTGGTCAGATTCTGGGGATGGCCTGGGGTATGTTCTCCAGTGAGCACGTCATGCAACCTCATTTTCAAAAAGTGTGTTTCTGATGTGAGAGCATGTTGAAGGGAGAAGTGAGTGGCTGATGTCTGTTGACCGTTTGGTCGTTGGGAAGCCTCTGTGGTTAATGCTTGTTGACTGTGTTATTTGTTTTAAGCGTCAGTAAGCGATGTTTGTTGACTGTGGTATCAGGCTGAAGTCGCGTGGGAGATGTTTATTGTGGAGTCTCCAAGATCCTGTATTCAAAGATACTCAGAGTAAAATGCATGACTACTTTGCCTCATTCATTACTGAGGCACCAGAGATTGAGGAAAAAGTCACTGTGTCACGGGTGTATTGGGTAATACAACGAAGATCTGAGCACGGCAAGATCCATGACAGCGGGCTTTCGACAGGGCTGGGGGGGAGGATTACAGGAAAACACAGGACAGGTGGAGGCTGCAGAGGGCATCTCTCAGGCCCAGAAATGCAGCTTCTCTGCCTGCATGAGACTGACCCTCAGCGCTAGGCTAGAGCAGGGCTATTGGTGACCACTGACAGATACAGGGAGAGTGGGAGGCAGAGAGCCAGGGGAGTGACTCAGACCGGCTAGGCCCGAGGACCCAGGCTGGATCCGACTCACGACAAGCCATGAGATGGAATGCAGGGCAATCCAGAAAACATGAATTACAGTACATTGAGTCACTATGGTCTGAATGCTGGACTGATGCGTTTAACGAAAGCAGCAGATTCAAGATCATTTTTAGTTTAGATGAGATACAGACAAATACCTGCAGAGCGAATTACGTGTGAAGACAAACCAAGGGCCTTAGATGAGAAGCTCAGGCTCTTCCTACCTTTGTTGCCCATAACTTTCTTTCACACTGGGATTTCTCAGCCTCCAGCTCCTCCACCTTGTCCTTCAAAAGCTGCAGCTGCTGCTGTAAGACCTACGAACATGAAAGAGCAACAGCGATACATGATATTACCACATAATAGGCATAGTTTAGAAGAAGTTTCTTCACCATTAAATAATACAATTTGAGACAAACGGTCCTTTGGTAAAAACAGATTCGCCAAATTTTTATTTCTATTGAATTTGTATAAAAAGGGGGTCTTTTCTTGGTAACCTGTGGTCTTGGCTTTCTGTGCAGTGGAGTCTTTGCTCTGTATAATGAGGACTACCCACTGGTTTCTGTAGATTTCCCTGGGGCCTTTGCCATCTAAGCTGTGTTCTCAATGATATTTCCTGCCAAAGCTGTTTAAGTCCCAGTGGCTTTGCATTTCTAAGCTGTAGAGCTTGTTGTGATCCTTGATGTGTGAGGGCCTGTGGAGATGCCAGAGGTGCTTACAATCCACAGTGCTCCCTAAATTCTTCATGGCTAGCTGTCCTGATGAAGGATAAAACCCCCCATCCTGAAGTGTGCTGCTCTGTAAGACAGCATCATGTCCATTGTTGGGTGGCATTTTGGCAGTTGACTGGCATCCTGTCCAGGATTTACCCAGCCCTGTGCCCTGTGATGGACTGGCATACCGTCCAGGGTGTACCCAAGCCAGTTTAACTCTAACCCGCACAGAGCCTAACCCTAAGACCATATGCCCAGCCCCGCAGTGGCTCTGTACCTTGGCATTGTGCTGCTTGCTGTCACTGCCCCTCTGCTCCTCCTCCATACCCTCCAACTTCAGCTTCAGGAAGGAGACCTCCTCCATCAGGTCCAACTTCTGTGACTCAAGCAATGTCCGACTGTGCAGCTCCTGTGGATGTATACACACACACACACACGCACAAACACATGCACAGACCTGCACTCATATCTTTGTGGGGACCGTCCATTCATTTCTAGGGGCAAAACCCTAATTCCAGCAATACAACCTTAACCCATCCCTAACCCTAACCATACGTAACCAAATACAACAAAATACAAGACTGATGTAACATAATTTAATCTGATATATGGACTGTTTTGCTAGTGAGTAGAACTGGACAAAGAGAAATATTAATAATTTAATATTGACATTGCATGTTATGCACATGCAATTCTCACATGCAATTCAACAAAATGAGTGCGGAGGAGAAAAGCAAACAAGAACTGGTCACTAAAAGCCATATGACATCTGCTGTATGAAAATACAGCAGTTTCCATATATCCTGGAGTCGCCATAAGAAAATAAATGGGATTTTTTTTTAGGAGTTTTTTGGGAATTTTATCACAGTGATCTTTGAATGTCGCTTTTCTCGTATCTTTTTGCTTCGCTTTCCTCCGCTCGCCAGGGGAACCAAGGCGTGACATCCCTAAAGAGGAGGCCTTACCTGCTGCAGCATCTTCTCGGTGGAGGTGAGCTTGTTCTGGTGCTCATCCAGGCTGCTTTCCAAGTCCCTGATCTTCTCTCCTTGGGCCTCCACCTGGTCTGTGAGGACGCTGACCTGCAGGGGCATAAGGTCATGCTCACCTGCATCTTCTGCAGAGCAACACTGGCTCACGCCTCGACACAACAGGGAAAAATAAACCTCCAAATAAGGTAAACAGCTCCAACAGGTATAAGGTATAGGGGAGAGTCTCTAAAGTGGATCACGCTGTCCTCGACCCTCTGGGACCTCTGCAGCGGATTACGCTGTCCTCGACCGAGCCTAAGTGTCCGTGAGTCTCTAACTGTCCCGTTTCCCCCCGTTCAAATCTGCATTTCCACCTGTCTGCAAACATTCTTGGCTCTGATTATTGATGCCTCCCGAAGGGACTGTATGAAGCCATTAAGATTCTTATGGGATGTATGATGTTAGCAATTATCTTCTGCTGGATACAGTCTCACACTAATACCGGCTCCCATTCCTAAAGCTCTCTCACACACACACACACACACACATATATATTGGCATGCCTATCTAACCGCGGACCTTCCAGTCATTTCTATGGGAAAAACCCTAATCCCAATCACAACATCCCTAACCCCTGCCCAGCCCTAACCTTAACCGTAATTAACCAAACCAAATACAAGACTTCTGCCATTTTAGTTTTTGATTGCAGTCACAGATTTTTATAGAAAAGAGTTTCTGGAAACTCAGACTGGAAAAATGTCCCCACAAGGTAATGCATTCATCCCCCCCCCACACACAGAAACACACACACACAAATGCCTGCACTTACCTGGAGGACCAGGGATGCTCGGTCGCTCTCGAGGTGCTCCAGCCACTCCTGACACGTCTCGCCGGAGACGGGGGGGCCGAGGTTCCCCTGCAGGGACACAAACAGGTGGCTGATGCTGGGGGAGGAAGGGGGGGGTGCATGAAAAACATGCTCTCAGCAGTGATTAACCTTCATTACCAACCTCTCCGGTCAGTATGATTTCATTTTGTTTCATGCTGGATGCTGTAACACGGTGTTAAAATAAAAACAGCATGAAATGTCACCAATCCAAGTTAAAGTGCGGAACTCTCCGTGAGACATGACTGCAACTTTTATCTACAAAGGGCCAGTTTACTGCTACAAGACAACCAACAAAGGGTGGAATTACTTCTCAGACACTTCATGCTTAAGCACTCGTAAAGGCAACACACCCACAGACACGCACACACAGTCCCAGCAAAGCCTGCTCAGAGACTTCCAGTCACAGAGAAGAAGTTTCAGTGCTTGACCATCTCAAGCAACTTCACATCATTAACACTCATAGAAAGTGCTTCTCTTGATCATTCCCGCAGCACTGGGCTCAGCACTGGGCTTGTTGCTTTCTCAAACTGCAACTATTATGTCCAGCTAAGAGATAAAACATCAACACATTCAAGCTCTTAAAATGCTATCAGTTTTACTGAAGACTTTGCCCCTCATCTGATGCAGTCTGCCAAGCTCTCACTCATATCCTTCTTGTTTTGTTGACTATGCAACCCCTTGTTCTCCCAGACACACACGAGACAAGCAGCAATGCCATGTTCCTACCTCACACTTTGGACCTGAGGTGCTCCTACCTCAACTCACTGCACGTTCACTGAAACACCGCAGCTCACGGCCGCGGGACGACTATCCGCATGGAGCGGCCCTACGCTCACTCTTGGCGTGGGACTGGAATTCTTACTGGAACAGAAGATCTTTTGTCCTTGTGAGAATATCAACACATTCTGCTCTTTTCTAAGAGGGCAAGCAAAGTGTTCGAAAACAAAAAATAGTGTGGTGCTTACCTTGTGTAGCCAAGTATAATATTTCTGAAAGTCGTTGAGAGCGGCCATACTGAGAGCCTATTTTATAGCCGGAGCAGCTCAATATAGGTGGCGTTGCAGCAGAAAGCCATCTACACATTTTCTGTAACCACTTATCCTATTCAGGTTCTCGGAGGGTCCGGAGCCTGAGGCTATGCCGCATGGCAGGGAACAACCCAGGACGCAGTGCCATGCCATCCCATCCCGTCACACGGGGCAGTCACACATGCACACCTACAGGCAACCTGGCAGCTCCTGTTAATCTCAGCATGTTTTTGGACTGTGGGGGGAAGCCAGAGTGCCCAGACGGAACCCCAGAACGACTCGGGAGAACATGCAAACTCCACACACATGGAGCCATGGCAGAGACTCAAACCCTGGTCCCGGAGGTGTGAGGCGACAGTGCTAACAAATGCACCACCATACCACCCACAACAGGAAGCCACGCTACCTTATGCTTTTGTGAGGCTCGCTGCATAAACCACCCCCAGCCCCAGCCCCAGCCCAGGCAGAAGCTCCACAGCAGGCTAGGCAAGTCCAGCAGACCTGGAACACGAATCAGGCCACCCGGCCCTTCCTCTGCTGCCAGAAGGAGATGAACACCCTCATTAGCACTGCCTGAAACTAGCTGCCCTTGTTAACTCAGACGGCTCTCGACTCCAGTCTGATGGCAGGAGTACAGCTGGAGAAGAACGCCGCACGTTCACGATCGCCTCAGAGACCTGCCACTCGGTGTCAACACAAGCTGGATCTCATTAGTGCAATTCCCGCAGATGCTGGAAACACCCTCAGTTCCCTCAGACCGGTGGACCAGCTGAAACTGTCCATGACCTAGAACGGGCTTATAGAACATCCTGAATGGCTGACGCTGCAGTATAGACATCCTCTGGAGCAGAGTATCATTTATAGATCGACCTACTGCAATTATTGCAGCGTCATCTGCTGTGAATGAGAGGACTGAAGATTGATCTTCTGTAGAAGAACACACTTTACATGGATGCTCTTTAGAAAGATGCACTCCAGAATATTCTTCTGCAGTGGGAGGAGTACAGAGGTGTAACATCAACCAGGAACACGCTACTGAGTGCTTCTCAGCTATTTTTCTGCATGGACATTTATTCCAGAGTCACTCAAGGCCAGGATTGAGGGGGGAGGAATGCACAAGCATTTTATGAGAAGAAACTCAACTAGGCTTCAAAATAAAAGTTCTGTTGTGTTCATATACTGCTGTTACTAATTCACCAAGACTGCCTTAAAGAGCTTATGATCTGTCATTACTCTCAGCCTGTATCCCATCAGCATCTCAGGTGTTCCTCTAGAGCAGGGGTACCAAATCTTATCCACAAAGGACTGCTGTGTACGCGGGTTTTCGCTGCAACTCCCTAATTAGATTACTAATTAGAGGACTGATTGGCTGAAGAGTCCTCACACCTGGGTTTGAACAGCTGACCAACAGGTTATCCAAAAAACCTGCATACACACCGGCCCTTTGCGGGTAAGATTGGGTAGCCCTGCTCTAGAGCAGTTGAGGTGAAGTGCCTTCAGTGCTCTAGCCAAGGGGACACTTTGCTAGCCAATCAGGGCCAGCGACGCGCCCCCTGGTGGCCGCTGCTGTACTGCCGCTCACCGTGCACACCTGCAGCCACTCCTTGAGGGTACGAGCTGTGCTCTCGGGGACCTGCTTCCTTAAGGTGTCTCTTTGTTCCACGCTGGGCTGGGCCTCCAGGGCGAAGCTGAGCTCCTCGGCCAGTCGCAGCACCTCCGGCTGCCCCCCCAAGCCGCTGGAACCTGGGGGCGACACGGAAGGCGTGGGCCAGGGTCCGTCCAGAGGCAGAGGGCTGCTAGGGGCGCATAGCTGTTGCAGGGCTCAGGGATATTTATCTCTATCTACTGTAGCAGATGCTTTTAAGCAAAATGATGCACATTTTTAAGAAAGTGGGGACAGTCTGTTCCTGGAGCAATTCAGGCTTAAGGGCCCATTGGAGAAACCACTCTGCTGCTGCTGGGATTTGAACCAGCAACTTTCCAGTCGCAGGCACAGGGTCCTAATCCTCTGAGCTTTACACATTCCCGTGACTATAAGAGCATTTCTCAAAACAGTTCATGCATATTGCATGACAGTAAGGTTAGGCTACAAAAGGCCGAAACTCACCCAAAACAATCAATTCATGTCAAAAGCAAATAATTCTATGAATAAATTAGTTAGTGACACCAAAATGAAAAGTACAATCAGCATCGTTTTAACCATGAGCCAAGATGCTTAGATACATTGTCAGTCTGTCAGTGTCAGTCTGTCAGTGTCAGTCTATCAGTGTCAGTCTATCAGTGTCAGTCTGCTCCTGAGCTCCACGATTCTGAATAACAGTTGCTTCCCACTTTCTCATTGTCACTGACTGATTATTTTTCATTAGCAAACTGATACTTATTCATGTCAGAGAGACCAGTTTCAACATTGCAAGGCTCTGCATTACAGTATGTAAAGTTCTCTGGCAGGAGAAAGCACTCGCATGCACATGTAACTTCTTCAGATCTCAAGACACAGTATAACAGCAAAGAAAATAGTCACACAGAACCGTGTAACACAAAAATAGCAAAATTACAACAAAATCATGTACAGTGGGAATCATAAATACAGTAATGCCATATCACTGTAATTTATGAAAAAAACCCGTAAATCATTCTAAAATGTTTGGTGTTTTTGCATGTCATGGCTAATCACATAAAGTTTAGGGTGTAAAATTATTACAATGGGAAACTACAAACTATTTGGTCCAAAAACACTGAAGCAAAAGAAAATTCTGCCACATGATGACAATTGTACAAAAGCATTTGCATATTTGTACTAAAACATTTGGAAATTTGTGAGAAGCAATGAGAAATGATTATTATGGTGTGGGGATTATAGGCCTTGTTTTGCAGATGTTAATTGTCATTAGAGAAATGCTCCAACGCAATCGAGAAAAACTGTAATATGGGGACCTGTCTGCCCACGGGGGGGGGGGGGGGGGCATATCAGTTATTAAACCGACAGGAAGATCCTCACCTGAGAAGTGAACAGAGGCACAGAGAGTTCTTGCACACACTGTATTAGGGACGCAGTACTTGCTTTTTATGCATACTTTTCAGGAATGTGTCAAACTGTAAAATGAGACAACACTGAGATACACTGTAACTGTGTTACTGTGAGGGCAGGGGGTGAATGGTGAAGTCACCCTGGGTTCTGTTCCTTCTGCATTTCAGAATGATTAACCAGCCCTAATTATAGCACATGTCATCACAGTGCACACTTCCAGCACAATGTCACACACAGGCGAGGTCTGGGAAACAGAAGCAGACGGAATGTACAGTGCTGCTGAGAAAGTAGCAGCTCGTAGCTGCCTAGAGAAATATGAAGAGAGGATGGAAGAGGGGCCATACATGGTGGCACCACTAGAGGGCGCTGTGCAAGAGCAGATGAACCAAAACTGTTAGCTTAGCTAGACCGTCAGTTCAGGGGACAAACTCTATCAGCTCCTTTTGAGATAATTATCATTATGTGAGCAAAGACGTTAATAACAGCTAATAATGAACTATTTTAGGTTTTCTCGATTGCTTTGGAGCATTTCTTAAATGACAATTAACATTTGCAAAACAACGAGTGTAATCCCAACACCATAATGTCACTTCTGCAGAGCAGAACATCATTTCTCATTGCTTCACACAAATTTCCAAATGTTTTAGTACATATATGCAAATGGTTTTGTACAATTGTCATCATTTGACACAATTTTCAGTTGCTCTAGTCTTGTTGGTCAAAATAGATTATGTAGTTTCCCACTGTAATAATTTTACACCCAAAACTATATATGTATGTGATCATCATTTTAGCCACCACATGGAAAACCATTAACCAAGCTTTCAAAATGATTTAAAAATGTATTTTGCTGTTTTTGTGTTACATGGTTCTGTGTAACTTTTTCTTTGCTTTTGTGTCTTGAGATCTGAAAAATGCATGAGTGCATTTTTTCAACAGTGAACTTTACATGCTCTAATATGGAGTCTTTGACAGGAATAAGTATCAGTTTCCTAAAAATGAAGGATCAGACAGTGACAGTGAGAAAGTGGAACCCAACTATCATTCAGAATATTGGAGCTCGGCAGTAGACTTACACTGACATTTTGCAGTATACTTACACTGAGATTTTGCAGTATACTTACAATGAGATTTTGCAGTATACTTAAACTGACATTTTGCAATATACTTACAATGAGATTTTGCAGTATACTTACACTGAGATTTTGCAGTATACTTACACTGACATTTTGCAGTATACTTACACTGAGATTTTGCCGTATACTTACACTGAGATTTTGACGGTGTATATCTAAGCACTTTGACTCTCATGGTTAAAGCGATGCTGATTGTACTGTTCATTTTGGTGGCACTGACTAATTCATTGGTGGAATTATTTGATTTTCGAGACATGAGTTAATCATTATGGGTAAGTTACAGGGTTTTGTTGCTAAACCACAGTGTTGTGCTGTGTGCATGAAGTGTGTTGAGAAATCCTCTTATAGTCTTGAGAATGTTAGGTATGTTTCATAAAATGTGCCAAAGCAATCGAGAAAAACTGTATTGTGACACCTATGAGTTAATTAGATGCACTCAGAGAAAAGGTATTCAGTTTTGACAGACTTAATTTGTAACAGTATTATTACAACTTGACCTTACTGGTTCTGTTTACTAAAACTACCCTGAGTACAGCTGTACTATTTCAATTTCTGCCTTTCTATTATTGAATATGAAGTATTTTTATTTGAGTAGATTCTGGCCTTCCCAGTTTTCTTGCTGGGCTTGGTCTCGTTTTTCTTAGGGCCTGGACAGCTGTCTGGGTGTCTTATCCACACGCCCAACCTTCAGTATCCCCCCCGCGCCCAGTCACATGACTCTCTTTGTCCCAACGGACACCGATCTTACACATCTACTGAATCTTTTTTTTAAAATATGCAAGTAAGTACAGCTGGACTTTTTTTATTTATATGTACAGTATATGTCCTGCATGTATATGTCTGAAATGGCGTGTGACGGGCATTTTAGTTTAGATGATAAAAGTGGAGGAAGACAGAATTTATATTTGGACTGGCAAACAAATTATTAAACACATAAAGAGAACCTAAAACAACAAACAATAACAAAATACAATAACAACTTATCCCAGCAAAACATGATCCTCCTGGGACAACCAGACAACGTGATACTTGGCGATTGGGTGTTCTGCTCCTGACCAATCATAGAGGAGAGCTGGTATGACACAGATCAGCATCGTTACTTATTAATGACTGGACTCCGATTCCATGAGCAGTGCTTCAAATCCTGTGCTCAGCTGAGTAGCCCCATCACTGTTGGGCTCTTAACTCTGAAAAATGGTCCAGGGTTACTGGATGGAAGGCTGACCCTGCACTCAAACACCACGTTTCACTCTCACCTCTATAAAAAGCGAGCATGATGGAATATGTGAAAACTAAGGAATTCCTATGTACTTGTGCAAATGGCAAATAAAGCTTCATGTCACTCTCGCCCCCCCCCACCTGCGATGATGTCATCCATGCGCTCCAGGGCTGCTTCGAGCATGTGACTCGCCTGTGTCGCCATGACAGCTCCGCCTTTCTGGATCACCTGCAAAGCCGGTCAATACAACACAATCAGCAATAAAGCCATTGTAATAATCCCATAATACCATTTTATCCCCGGGACAGACAGTTAACTTGCAATTTTGCAGTACTGTTTTGTACCCGATGGTAATAATAACTCCACCTTACATACTTAAACTTTTTTCTTGGAGTAAGCCATTCCTTGATGACATAATCACTCGCTCGAGAGCTCACCTTCATTTTCACTAGTGTTAAACCAAGGCGGTGTTGAGTCGGCAGTATATCTGGAATGAATGTCACCATAAGCTGCACAGTAGCCTACCCCTAACCCTAACCCTAACCCTGACCCACCAGGATTACTGCCAACGGCAGCTATGCGAACAGCCCAGCTCTGCAGGATTAGAGCTGCGAAAGCCTGCAAAAAGGTATAGAGCAGCTCTGCCATGTTTGTGATCCCCACCATGGTTTTAAACTCTTCTCTGCATTTTTGCAGTTCTTTGCATCTCCGTACATTTTAAGGTTTCCTAGTTTGTCTCATGCTGCCGTTTTCTTCCCATTAAAGGCTGTTAAATCCCATAATCCCACATCTGAAGAGCATGCTTTCTATTGTAGGTATTGTCCATTGTGCAATGAGGCCACTTTGTCTATCTATCTGTATTTCAGAGCACTTATTCTGTAGAGGGCCTGGGGTTAGGGATCACTCTGGGTGGGATGCCAGTCAGTCACAGAGCATACACTCACAATCACACACAGGCAGGAATTTAGACAATCACAGGT